AAAGATTCTTATCACTGGACCAATAGACAGCATCATAATAGATGGAGAGAAGATTGAAACTTCAGCAGCTTCATTTTGCTTGGATCCACAATTAACACCCTTGGTACCAGCAGTCAGGAAGTAAAAAAACACATTGCACTGGGAAAATCTGCAGTTAGGGAACTCTCCAAATTATTGAGGAGTAATGAAGTCAGTTTGAGGACTAATGTTCATCTCATTCAGTCTTTCCAGTTACTTGCTGTGCATCTGAGAGCCAAACAGTGAATAAGGATGGCAGAAAAAGAATTGACATCTTTGAGCTGTGGTATTGGAGAAGAGCACTGAACATCCTGTGGACAGCCAAGAGAATAAACATATGTCTTGGAGAAAGTGCAGCCAGAATGCTCTTTGGAGGCAAGAATGATGAGGCTTTGCCTCACATACTTTGGGCATGTTGCTAGGAGGGGCTATTCCTTGGAGAAGGACATGATGCTGGAAAGGGTGGAGCATAGGCAAAGGGGAGGAAGACCCTCAGCCAGGTGAACTGACACAGTAACTGCTGTAATGGGCTCTTGTGTGTCTGGAAGAAGTGTGAGGATGGTGCAGGAGATAGAGCAGGGTTCACATCTTTTGTTCATAGAGTCGCTATGAGTCATACTCGACTCAGCGGCACCTAACAACAACAAAGTAGAAGCAATGACATTCCATTCACAGGGATCATTTTTATGAGGTACTGAACCTAAGCATAAAATAAAAGATAGAGGCACTTAAGAAAACGAATTCTGAATAAGTGAAGACAGAAGACCCAGCAAAAATTAAGGGGCTACCTAAAATATACTCTAAAAATACGTTATGAAATAAATAATAGAAGCATTGAACAGATGAACAACAGCAATTAGACACAGACAACACCATATTAACATTTAAATCACTTTATAATGATTTCACAATCTTAGACACAGTAATGCTGTGGAAGAAAACAAAAATTCAACTGAAAAGATTGCGCAGGATGCACCTGGAACATGACTAGAAAGGGACATGATCATGAAACAGGAGTCAAATTGTTCATTCAGCATGTATAAAGTGATGTTCTGGAGTTGTTAAGTAAGGACTGAGAATATTATCAATTTTCATGAACTACCAAGAGGACAAACAAATATGTCCTGAACAAAGTACAACCAGGGTGGGTATTCCTTAGAGGTTTTGGACATGTTAGGCGAGCCCACAGACAGCTAAGAGAATGAACTGATGTCTTGGAGAAAGTGCATCCAGGGTGCTCCTTGGAGGCAAGTACGGTGAAGTTTTGTTATTAGGAGGGGCTAGAGAACAAACAGATCTGTCCTGGAGTGGTTGCTCTTTGGAGACAAGAATTGCAAAGCTCTGTTAGACATACTTTGGACATACAGCCAGGAGGGACCAATCCTATGAGAAGGACATTATGCTTGGAAGGGTAGAGGGACAGTACAGGAGAGGAAGAGCCTGGATGAGATGGTTTGACACAGTAACTGGGATAATATAAGTAGGTATGTCCAAGACAGTGAGATTGGCTCAGGATAGGACAGGGTTCAGAGCTATTGTGCACAGGCGACTTGATGGTTGGAAAAGGACATCATGCTTGGAAGGGTGAAGATGGAGGGTCAGTGAAAGAAGTCAGTCCTCAAGAAGATAGATTGACACTGTGACTGCAGCAATAGTCTCAAGTATGTTCGACATGATAAGGATAGAACAGGATAGGATAGGCTTCAGATCTGTTCACGGGGTTGCTATGAATTATACTCCTCTTGATGGTACCTAATAACAACAGCATGATAGAGATGGTTGTTAATGGTACACGTAGGTAATTTCTGTTTATTATTATTACTCATTTTAATGAAAGTTTACAGTGACTTTGGATTTCCATTCATTCACTGTTGCACTTTTCTTCCTGCCCACCCCTCTCCCTAGTTCACTCTTCTCTTTGAAAAGTAAAATTCTTTCATTGATATACAGTCCCTCCCCCCATGTCCACTCCACTATGCAGCCTTCGTTCTGGACTCCTGTCATGACAATAATACCTAATCATAGCTTTTAAATGCTTCTCTCCCTCATTTGTTTCAATGCAGTATACATAATTTATCGCATCTTTCTCAGTCTCCCCCCAACCTCAATGTCAGTAGCACTATGCAGCATTTGTCTATTTGTGACTGAGATATTTCACTCAGCATAATGTCCTCCAGGGTCACCCATTTTGTGAAATATTTCATGGGTTTCTTGTTTTTCAACACAGCGTAGTATTCCATTTTGTCAATGTACTACAGCTTCTCTATCCATTCACTTGTTGATGGGCACTTAGGTTGTTTCCAACTCTTTGCTGTTGTTCTAACTCTGTGTAAGGTAGATCTTCCAACCAGCTCATTCCCTACCAAATTGACCTACAGGTCAACTCCCTACCAGGAATTTGGGAATCTACTTAAGATTCTGATTGTGTATCTGAGATGGAAATGCAAATTATTTGCAAGGAGGCTAACACAGAAGACATCAGTTCAAAGCCTGGTGTAAGGGTACTGGAATGAGGTCATTTAAAATGTACAGAAAAGTGAGCTTTTAACATAGTAAGTAAACCAACAAAAGATGAAGAGCCAAAAAAAAAAAAAAAAAGAGTTTGTTTTAAAAGCCCTTTTCTTTGTTTTGTTTGTGCGCACACACACACACATATCTTGGTTGAAAGTATTCTGTGTTAGGGTCACATAATGAAGGTGAACCGACTATATAATGTTTAGAAGTACATATCTCACTTATAAGACAAGAGTGATGGATGATTTTAATATAGGGAAATGCATGGCAAGATTGTTGGAGTAGTACTATGAACTTGATGGGAACAGTCTGAAAGCAGAGACATTCTTGGTAGTCTTGTAATGCATCATGTCGACTTGGTTAGGGCATGATTCTCAAGACTATATAATTGCCCTCTGTGTTGTAAATCCTAACCTCTGATGTTATTGGTACAATTAGAGGCATGTAATCATTTCCCATGATTTCATATAATGCGGTTATCCATTCAGTTGTAAAGGATGCAGAGTAGGATACAACACTTTTAATCAGGTCATAATGGTAAGCTGATATAAAGGGAGTTTCCCTTGGGGAGACCTGCTTCACTTTTTGCTCATGGGATGACAGTGAAGAGAGCTCAATAGCACCAAAAAAGAAAAGCCAGAAGCAGGCCCTTTAGGCCCAAGTTCCTATAGTGAGAAACTTGTAGAACCAAGAAACACAGAAAGTCTTCCCTCGAATCAGTACCCTGCATTCAAACTTCTGACACAGGAGAGAATAAATTTCTGTTTGTTAAGCCTGTCCATTTACATCTCTTGTTAAAGCATCACTAGATAAGGTAGATACAGTGTTTGGCAAAACCTGCAAAGGCAGTTCTGTCATTCACAGGGATGTACTAGTTGGATCTAAGTTAAGACGCTATGACAGGAATTGAGGCAAGAGATAATAGGGCTCAAGCTAAAACAGTCAATGAGAAAGCAGATCTAGAGATTTAAGAAGTAATTGGCTTAATGAGCTGTAAACAGTGAAGAGGAGTCAGATTTAAATCCAAGGATTACAGAGTTGAGTATTTACAAGGAACAGCCTCAGGGAAAGCAGGATTCCAGCAGGAGGGGTGAGTTTAGGAATGAGACTGTGGAGTTTATATATAAACATTTGTGTTTGAGGGACTGTTGATCACCCAACTAAAGCTGGCTTACTAAAAGGAAGGAGCATTTCATCTACAATCAACACCCTTGGTACCCACAGTAAGGAGATCAGGAGACATATTACATTGGCAAAATCTATAGTCAGGGACCTCTCCTAATTATTGGGGTACAATGATGTCAGTTTGAGGACTTAACACCTGATTCAGAAGATAGTATCTTCAGTCATTTGCTGTGTATCTGAATACTAGGCAATGACTAAGGATTACAGAAGGGGAATTGCTGCTTTTGAGTTGGAGAAGAGTACTGACCATCTTGTGGACTGCCAAAAGAACAAGCATATGTCTTGGAGAAAGTACAGCCAGAATGCTCCATGGAGGCAAAAATGACAAAAGATTCTCACATAAGTTGCATACGTTAGGGAGCTCTGGTGGCCTAGTGACAAGAAGTTGAACATCAATCCCCGAGGTGTGTGGTTCGAATCCACCAGATGCTCTGCTAGAGAAGGCGGGAAATTTCCTCCTGTACCCGTCAGATCCAATTTGACAGTACACACACACAAAAATAATAAAATTTAAAAAAAAAAAAGTTGGGCATGTTATTGTTTACCATTAAGTCAAAACCAACCCACAGCTAACCCCATAATGCTTGGGAAGGTGGAGGGTCAGTGAAAGAGAGGAAGACCTTTAATGAGGCTTTGACTACAGCGTATGTCAGAAATGATGAGGCTGGCACAGGATACGACAGGGTTCAGATCTGTTCATGGAATCACTATACTCGACAGCACCTTAACAACATGCCAGCCACTATGTGAGTGACTTTCTTATCATTATCTCCTGTCATGCACATCTCACATCTTTGTATTCTCCCTTCACAGAACAACATCAGTCATCTCACCTTACTCTATCTCTGAATGTTCTGTTGATGTGGGGAGGTTTCCCTATGTAAACATAAATCTAAATGTGTCTGTTTGTAAAATAGGTCATGGTCCATATCACATTTTTAGCAGTTATTAACGAGGTTTTTCTGTGTTAAAGTACACAAGTTTCATAAAGTATAAAAATGATATTTCTTCTATAGAGTATGTACTTAGATCAGCAAAAGGAGTGGTAATAAATGATCTCCCAACCAGATATCCCAGCAACAAGTGGATTGAGGGAGTGGGCGTTTGTAAAGGACATGACTAAGCCCAGAACCCTTATCTGTGTGTAGAGTTGTGTGCTTACACTGTTGTTTGCCTTTGCATGTCTACCCCAGGTCCTTTGGGAAAATCTCAGGGTGCCCAGCCTGAAACCAGAATTGCTGATGGTGTGAGCTCTAGATGTGAAATCAGCAGAAAGCCAGAAAATGGCTACAGCCTTAGAAACAGAAGGCCAGCATCCTTGTGAAAAAGAGGGGATCCTGATGGTGAAATTGGAAGAGGATCTCCCCTGTAGACCAGAGACCATCTTACAGAGGGACGACCCAGTACCTGAGACCTCCCACCAGCATTTCCGACGATTTCGCTACCAGGAAGCAGCAAGCCCTCGTGAAGCGCTCATTCGGCTCCGGGAACTGTGTCATCAGTGGCTGAAGCCAGAGAGGAGAACGAAGGAGCAGATCCTTGAACTGCTTGTGCTGGAACAGTTTCTCACCGTCCTGCCTGGAGAACTGCAGAGCTGGGTGCGGGGACAACGGCCAGAGAGTGGCGAGGAGGCAGTGACTCTGGTGGAGGGTTTGCAGAAACAGCCCAGGAGACCAAGGCGGTGGGTGAGGAGGGGGAGTCCTGATCTGTGTGATGAGGAGGGGGCATATCTTCAGAAAGGCTAAATTTGGCATAGAGGTTACAAGGCCCCATAAGTTACCCTTTACGTTTAATTGGCTCTGCCTTTGGGTTGTCCTGAGAAACAGGTGCTTAAGAACATCTGCTTGCAACCCATTTCAGTGGCCTCAGCTCCCTTCATCTCATGGCTTTGGTTTTCTCTTCTTTGAATCTTAAACCCCAGGTTACTAGGAAAGAAAATTTTATGGCTTCCTGGGGCTTTTTTTAGATCCCCAAGCACATATTCTCCTTCCAGGATGATAAAGGTATGGAGGCAAGCAATAAAGAGAGCTGTAAGTTAGGTGGGAGGGACGAGAACCTAAGAGCTTTGGGTGACTTGGGGCATGGATTGAGGGAAGTGAGAAAGTGATGCCATACTGCATGCCCTGGTAAAGGAAACCTCAACCTTTTTTTACTTACCCCAGTGCAACTGGGTTACCTGTCCTTAGCTGGGTGTCCCCAGGAGTATTTCTATAGGTAGTACTTCCTAAACCAAGCCTCAAGCTAGCCAAGACCTCATAGACTCCGTGGTGACTGGATGTTGGACTTATTCCCAGGTGACTGTCCATGTTCACGACCAGGAAGTCCTGTCAGAGGAGTCAGCGCATCTCGGAGCAGAGCCTGAGTTACTACCCAGTGAGCTGCAGGCTCCTGTACAGACCCCAACCCCAAAGGAATCTCAAAAGGAGACAGCACAGAGCCCAGATCCAGATGTGGAGGCACCAGAAGAGCAGAGTTTGGGTCCTGAAGAGGAGCCCCATCCACGCCAGGAGAGCGGTGGGAAGCCTCTGCCGAAAGAGGGCTGTTATGGGGGAGGGCTGATAGTTCTGGGCCAGAGGAGGTTAAGGTTTTAATGAAACAAGACCCGAGATGACCTGGCATTAAGAGAGGACGAAGCATCAGCTACAGTCTTCCCCATAAACAGGGCTAAGCCTAGCTTAGGCTGTGATACTCTCTTGGTTATTCCCTCAGCATTTTCCTGATATTATTGGTGATGAGGTTTGGGTTGACTTGAGCTAAACTTAGACTCAATTTTGACACTTCTAATAGAAGGTAGTACAGCCTTCCAACCAGAAGTGACATAGGGATGCTCTGTTACTGGAGTGTTCTACATATTGCTGATTTCCATTTTTGTTTCTTGTTAGAGTGTCCAGTGCTCCAGGACCCAGACATTCGTGAAGAAAGGAATACTGGGGACCCAGAGATGGTAGCCCTTCTGACTGCCCTGTCACAGGTGTGCTCAAGTTTGCTTCTGTCCCACAAAGAAGCGGTTTGAGGAACCTGTAGCATTAACCAAATGCTGAACAACAGGCTAGACAGTATGCAGTTACATTCTCCCTTTGCCAATGTAGGTTCAAGTTCTGCTGGTGTTTGGAATGGGAAGGAAGTGAGATTAATTATAGTAGCCTCATTAGCCCTGTAACAAATAAGAGATTTGTTAGTGACTAGAGGGACTAACAAATTGGGTTTATTTTGTGATATTTCCACTAGAACTTTGAAATCACTGGATATTTTTAAAAGAATTAAGTTTCAGGGGAGCTCTGGTGGCCTAGTGGCAAGAAGCTGCACTGCAATCCCAGAGGCGCACAGTTCAAATCCACCAGATGCTCTGCCGAGGATGGAGGGACAATCTCCTCCTGTACCAGTCAGATCTGATTTGACGGTACACACACACACAAATAATAAAATAAAATTAAAAAAATTAAGTTTCATGGTCTTTTGTAAGAATGACCATATTACAGAAGGATTTTCTGAAATTGTGTCATTGTTTGCACAGTCATTAGTCTGCTTTCAGTCAGTCCTTGACATTCCGTACAGATTGCCTTCATAGATGAATGACTAGGAAAAAAGGAATGAAAATGTCGTCTCTGTACACAAAGATAATCATCTAGCTGAGAAAAACAATCCATGTTTATGCCATGTATATGGATTGAGAAGATTGAATAGGATTTGTTAGGAAAAATCATCATAGAAAAGATGAATTTGTGAAGAAATGCTAGTAGCATGAAAACATTAAATAAGGAGTTGAATGATGACTTTTAAGATTCTTTTCATAATTAAACTCCCTAAAGAAGAAGAATAACAGACTTTTTCAGAGGAATAACAGGAGGTTATATGGAGCAGGAGTAGGGCCAGTATGGAAGAAGAAAGTTAGAAAACACGACAAATGATGAAACACAAATTTCCTGTAGGAGAATCACATAGGCTATTTGAGACCCTCTGGATCTGGATACAGTCTGCCTCTACCTATGATCTTTATCTTAAATTAAAATACGAGGCTACATGAAATATCAGGTTTTAAATGAAGGCCTGTATTGTTTTAGGGGCTGGTAACTTTCAAGGATGTGGCTGTATACTTCTCCCAGGACCAGTGGAGTGATCTGGATCCAGCACAGAAAGAGTTCTATGGAGAGTACGTCTTGGAAGAAGACTGTGGAATTGTGGTTTCTCTGTGTAAGGAACTTCAGGTGTTTTTAGAGTGTTTTAGCAGAGGTCCTTTTGTTGTTGGAGATTTCGAGTAGTATAGACCTTAAAATATATGCTCTGAGTTTTGGGGCACCAACCTCAGTGATGTTTAGGGATTAGTTGCAGAAGATGGAGAGATCCAGGTTATCCTTCCAAGTGGAAGAGGAGAAAAATACTTTGAGAATGGTTGACCAATTGCAATAAGATAAAGCTATATGATATTCTAGCTTTTGTTGTTATGTACTGTGGAGTTGTAATTGACTCATAGTTGACCCTTCAGCATGTTTCCAGAGGCTGTAAATTTCATGGGAGGAGGTTAATCATCTTTCTCCCTTGGAGCAGCTTCAACTCGTGCTTTTGGGTTGGCAATGCAACTTCTAAGCACTTGGCCACCAGTGCTCCCTATTAAAGCTTTAGTCTGGTGGTTAAGTTGTAAAGAATCGAGCTGCCAACCCAAAGGCATGTGGTTCCACCAGCTGTTCTATGGCAGAAAGATAGGTAGTCTTCTCCCAGGCAATTGTCTAAAACTATGTCTTAAAAAACTGGTGAAGGGTCAACTGTGAGTCAGTTTGGACTCAGAGATACACAACAATGTAGAAATATTTGAGGTAAACATAGGAGTTTGGAATACCTGTTTGAGTCTGGGGCTAGGAGTTGAAAATAATAAGCTTACTTGAATGAGGGAATTGAAAGTAACACTTGGAGTGCAATAATTACTGAGTTGCAGGTGAAAATATTTAAATCCAAAAAGCAGAAGATAGAGATGCTCCACCTAGAGAACTGAAGATTTGACTCACTAACCTGGCTATATATTTGTTGTAACAAAACCAAAAAGAATCTGCTCCAAACACAGGGACCTGTTGAACCAATCTTGATGTCCTGTTTTCCCTCTCTTGAGCAGCATTTCCAATCCCCAGACTAGATGAGATCTCCCAGGTTAGAGAGGAAGAGTCTTGGGTCCCAGATATCCAAGAGCCTCAAGAGCCTCAAGAGACAGAAATCCTGAGTTTTACCTACACAGGTGAGGAATGGCAAAGGTGATCTCACCCACCCTGAGTTGGCAGTTCTAATCAGTGCCCTCCCTATTGGTCTTCCTCTCATTTGTTCTTCAGACATGTCAGTCACATGCTACCTCTTCCTGAAGGCCAAATTCTGTTCTCTTTTTCCTCTTCTTCACTTCTCCATCAGTTGTTTGAGGGATGAATACCATGAAATGGTGGGTGGGGAAAAAGCTTTGGGAGTTGCAGCACTACCATCTTACTAAGCAGTTCACTCATTCTCATCATTTGTAAAATGAAGATATAGCTATTTGTCCATACCAAGATCTGTTGACAGCATGAAATAACATAGAGGGTGACTGGCACCTAACAGGGATTCAGCTGACTGATTATATCCGTTCCCAGTTATCCAGTTAGGAAATACGGTCTCATCTCTGTATTATGTTGCTCTCCTATGTCTTTTTGAGTATTTCTCTGTTGTGGAGAAAGAATTCTTGCCTCTGTAATTACCCTTTTGCTCTCTCCACAGGAAACCAGAGTGAAGAGGAAGAAGAATATCCCGAGCAGGAAGATCTGAGTTGTGATGATCTACAAAGGTCTGTGGTGATAGATCCAGAAATTCAACCAACGCCTGATTGGGACCTACTCTTTGGGGATAATCCAAGCAGACTTAATGAAATGAGATTTGGTACAAATATTCCTCAAGCTGATAGTTTCACAGATCTTCAAGAAACTGTGCCCTTCCACCCCTTGTTAGAGAGTCATCATGACTGTCCTGTATGTAGTAAAAACTTCACTTGCAACTCTCACCTTGTTAGACACCTGAGAACTCACACAGGAGAGAAACCCTATAAATGTATAGAGTGTGGGAAAAGTTACACACGGAGCTCACATCTTGCCAGGCACCAAAAGATTCACAAGATGGAGGCTTTTCAGTTTCTGAACCAGAAGAATGTAGATGAGACCTTACCGCTGATCCAAACTGAGGGGACACCATCTATTGAGAAACCCTATAGATGTGACGATTGTGGGAAACAGTTCCGCTGGGCTTCAGATCTTGTCAGACACCAAAGGACACATACAGGAGAAAAACCCTTTTTCTGTACTATTTGTGGCAAAAGCTTTAGTCAGAAATCTGTACTAACAACACACCAAAGGATTCACCTTGGAGATAAACCCTATTTGTGTGGAGAGTGTGGAGAGGATTTCCCTGACCACAAGCTGTATCTGGCACACCAAAAAACGCATGCAAACGAAGAACTTTACCTGTGTAACGAGTGTGGGCGGTACTTCAACCACGGTGCAGCTTTTGCCAGGCACCTGAGAGGACATGCGTCAGTGACGCCCTCCCAATGCCATGAATGTGGGAAAAACTTCAGTCGAAGAGACCACCTCGTCAGGCACCTGAGAACACACACTGGCGAGAAGCCATTTACTTGTCCTACCTGTGGAAAAGGCTTCAGCAGAGGATACCACTTAATCAGGCATCAAAGGCTTCACTCTGAAAAGACCCCCTAGCTAGTCCCTCAGGTGAGCTACAGTTGGCCCTTACCTGTGGGTGGACTAAGAGAAACCCTCTTGTCAGCCTGGGAGACCTTGTCTAGAAAGTCCCTTTCCACAACCAAATAAAACCCTGGGCAGAGCTTCTCATCTTTAAATTTTGAGGATATATTTTGCCCAAAGTGCAATCTGAGTTGAAGGTTTTCCTTGGAGTGTTCCTGCCTCTACCTCGTGGGTACAGAGTAGGAGAATTAGAAGATGTAGGAGGTTGTAGTTACGCTGTTTTCCAAAAATACCTTGTTGCATACCCTGAAGACTCCCAACCACCTCGAGTTTAAGTGGCCAAGGACAAACCCTTAGGTTTGGTGAGGGGCCAGCCTTAAGGTGTGTGTTCTTTCTGGACTCACGTGTTAAAGCACACAGCGCTGAACTCAAGGTCGGAGATCTGGGTCCTGAGGACTGCTGCACATCCACATGATAACTGTACAGATCCCTTCCTGAGTCAGTTGTTCACCATGCACTTTCCTTTGATGCTGGAGAGTTAATTTGATGAGTAAAAGTCTCAAGGCTGCTGTTTATGGACCTTTTCAGGCAGTTTCCTTCCCCACTGTCAGAATGGTACCTGGCCAATCACTGCCAGAAAGGAGGACTTAGTGGCCTCTGTTTACTTGTGGGTTTGTTTTTGGCATTCCCTTCCCCTTCTCCTTTAAACTACCTTTAATGCTTTTAGCTTCCCTTTTATTCTGTCCCTGGCACTTCTGCTTCAAGTGAGATGTAACATTGAGATTCTGAGGGCATATCAGTAAAGCATAATTGTCATGAAGTTCCTTAGATCCCCATGTATGCAAACGCCCACCTACCCTTACCCAGTCCTTCACGTGGGTTTTATGAGATTTTGGTATAGTGTCCTCTTTCAAAGGCATTAGAATCATGATTGACTGGGCCGCCTCATTTACATGAAGAAAACTGGAGAAGATACAAGATCAGCCTATGAAATATTAGGAAAAAGCTGTTGCTACTGATCAGCCTATGAAATATTAGGAAAAAGCTGTTGCTACTGGCCAGAGCTGTCAAGACTGTTCTGATACCCAATGTCCACCATCCCTGTGTAGCCAGGAACACTATGAACCTTATTTAGCACTTGGGAGCTGCAGAGTTATCAAGAGTAAATGGCTTACATGTACTTGTGGTGTTTGCTTTTTCTTATGTAATTTCAATTTCGTGTGATTAAGAACTAATGACGTCCTAAGAATCCCTGTTGTCTTACAGAGGTTACCATGGAGGTCAGGCTGAACAATTATCATGAACCTCGCCTGCTGTCGTATTGGGCACAGCAAGAACTGGGGAGACAGTGCTCCACAAATGGAACACAGGATATGGGATTAAAGCATGAGAAGGGAGACTCTCTGTGCCTGGTTTGTTCTCTGCTACAGAATGCATTCTCTACCCTTGTGCACCAGAGGAAGATAGGTGGTTAACAAACCCGAGTCTTGTTTACAAGGAGATTGTCTTTTTGGTCAGTAGTGATATTCTGGTGGTTGGGTTTAGTAATAGCCAAATCCTGCTATGAGAGACTACTGACAGCCGTGGAGCTCTAATCTCTGGGACTTTCTACTTTACCCATTCAATTCCCAGGACCATGGATTCCAGCTGCATCTGACAATCACCTATACTTTGAAAGACCAAGAAGTACAGAATAACTTCCCATGAGGATAGAAAAAATTTAGGCTTATTGGAGGAGGTAAGAGTTAAGCTGTATACAGGCTGATATATAAGAGCAGAGCCTAGGGTTTGCAGATGAGACTAAAATCAGAGATCTAATATACAGCTAGAGATTTAAGAACTAAGTAAAATAGCCTCAGAAGACACTATCTTCAGTTGATGCTTAACCATTTATGGAAGTTGGTAAGATAGTAGATGTGTTGAATAACCTGATCTTTGATTGATTTCTCTCTATTATAAAAGATATCTAGAGGAAAAGAAAATAGCCCCAACACACACAGTTTCAAGCAAGTCACTCCAAAACACTCATTGATGTCAAGATAGAACCAGCTCAAAGCTGACCTTCCAGCAGGTTTTTAGGAGGCTGTAAATCACCAGGGAATAGATTGTCCTGTCTTTGAGGGAGTCTCCACCTTTGTGTTGGCAGTGCGGTTTCCTACAAGTAGCCACTAGACCTCTCATAAGGCATTGTTGGATGTGGTAGATTCGAGGGAGACTCAGTGACCTGGCAAGCAGCCAACTTGAACCCTGCCCTACCCTGTGCCATCATCATCTCTGACATACTAGAGCCCATTGCTGAAATACCATGTGTTGATCCATCTAGTTAGGGGTCTTCTCCTTCGCTGACCCTCCATCTTTCCAAGAATGATGTTTCCCACCAGCCTTCAATAAATTACTGTTTTGGTTTTGATTTTTAATTCCTGCAGGAACAGGCTATCCTCTAATCAAACAGGACTATGGCATTAGCAACACGGAGGGGAAAAAGGAACTTGGGTTGATGAGTAAAAGGCAATATCGTTGACCATGGGGAAGTGAGTTTGAAGCACAGGATGCTTTTCATAAAGGGTCCCCTCTGGAATTTTAACAAAACTCTGGCATCTTTAAAATGACTTAGTGGATTTTGTTTGACTTTTACTCAAAGGACTATGTTCAAGCACCAACTGCTCCGTAGAAGCAGAATAACCAGTCTCCTCCTCTCTAGGCTAATTGTTATGTGCTGTTGAGTCTCCTGTGACTCACAGCAATTCTATGTACACAACTCTGAAGCCTGCCCTACCTATCCTGAGCCTGTCACTGATTCCAACACACCTACCCCCATTGTCCTAGTTACTGAATCAAACCATGTCATCTGTAGTCTTCCTCTCCTGTGCTGTCCCTCCACCTTTCCGAGTGTGATGTGATGTCCAAGGAATAGTCCCATCTGCCCAATGTATGTGAGACAAAACTTCAAAATCACAACCGCTTTCACCCTGTCCGAAACAGACCTATTTGTTTTCTTAGTGGTCCATGATATGTTCAGGAGCCCTCTAGCACCACAACTCAAAAGCTTCTATTCTTCTGTCATCCTTAGCCATTGTCCAACTCTGATGCATAGCAAGTAATTGTGAAGACCATGGCCTTACTCTCATCTTACTTTCTCAGTGTTCTGGAGACGTCCCTGACAGCAGATTATCCCAGTGCAAATTGTCTTTTGATATCCTGACTGCTGGTGCCAAGAGTTTTGATTGTTGAGCTGAGCAAGCTGTAACTGTTAACAACTTATCTCTTTTCCACTCATTGGCCCATTGGTGAGAATCTTTGTTTTCTTGATGCTGAGCTTCAATCCTCAGTGGCGATGAGTTTTTGACCTTCTGCAGCAAGCGCTTCAGGGCCTCCTTAGTTTCATCAAGCAGGGTTGTGTCATCTGCATAAAGTAGGTTGTTGATGAGTCCTCCTCCAGTCCTGATGCCACGTTCTTCCTCGTAAAGCCCAGCCTCTCAAATGATCTGTCCTGCATATAAATTGAAAAGGTATGGAGACCAGATGCATCCCTGACACATTCCTTTCCTGATTTTGAACCATGCTTTATTCTGAGGACTGCTTCCTGGTCTAGGTATAGATTTCACATACGCACAATCAAGTGTTCTGGGATTCCCATTGTCCTCAAGCTTAGCCACAATGGGTTTTAGTTTGGGGCATCTGAAAGTAACACTGAAGAATGAAAGTTCCTGAGAATGAAGCAGCTAGGTTGTTAACATATTTGGTTGAAGTTATAGTTCAAGTCCACCTAGAGGTGTTTAAGAAGAAAGTTCTGATGACATCTGAAAAATCAACTTGAAAACATGAAGTCCATAAATAGCAAATTACAGCATACTCTTCTAGAGTGTTATTGTTAGGTGCCACTGTTAACATTCATTTTTACCAATAGTTAACCCATCTCTTTGGGAGCCTTCCCTCTGCTGACCCTACTTTTCTGGCCATGATGTCTTTGTTCCAAGGACTGGTTCCTCCTAACAAGCGCAAAATGTGTGAGACCAAATTTCACCATCCATCCTTCTAGGAGCATTCTGGATGCACTCTCCAAGAAGTTTATCCTTTTGGTAGTCCATGATACTTAGTGCTCTACTCCAGTGCCGCAGTGCAAAGGCATTGATGATTCTTCTGACATCTACCAAGTTAACCAGCAACATTTCTACATTATTAGAAATGAACATGTTGAGAAGATGTTGTGTTTATAAAGATATTCATTTAAGTTGTTGCTGTTTAGCCAGATAATAAAAGGAAAAACCTAAAGCCTGTTCAGGGCACGCTGATGGCTTAGTGGTAAGGAATTGCTCAGCCAACACAAAGGTAAACAACTTGAATCCACCAGCTGCTCCATGAGAGAAAGATGGCCAGTCTCCTCCCATGTAATTTACTGCCTCTGAAAACCTGCTGAAGAGTCAGGTATTCAGTGGCTTCCTACTTCCCCCCCCCCCAAGAGGGAGAAAATGGCAAAAACAGTAGGAATTGGAAAAATATTATCTAGAATTTAGAGCTCAAACGAAGCAGAATCAAACTAAGATGAATTCTCTGGAAAATATTCCAAAGTTGGATTAATATTTAATGCTGGAACCAAAGCAGGGAACTCGTGACAGCCAATAGTCGTGCTTCTGACCCCAAAGTGGCACCTCTAATGGTTCTAATCCATCAGCAGCTCCTCAGGAGAAAGAAGGGAAATGCAAAATATAAATGCACTGCCTGCTCCTGTTTTTCTAAAAGCAATCTTCCTTTTCCCCCTACATGCTTGTCTGTATCACCTCCCTTTCCTCCACCCTAAGCCTGGTTTGTAGTTTCCACTTCTGATCTTTATATCTCCTTGAAAGCTCTTGACTCCCATGCATATTCCATCCCAGTAGCATGGTCCATAAGGAGTTGTGTTGCTAAGCTAGAGGTGGAAGACATCTCTGGCGCATCTGTTCCACTAGCTGCTCCCCAGGAGAAAGATGGACAGACTCTCCCTGTGTGATCTATTGCTATGTGACATCGAGTCAAGT